GTTCATTAAAGTCCACGTGTGAGGTTTGACACCTCCCCTCCACCCTACTTTCTCACATTAGATTGGATTCCAAAAAGTAGAGCCGTTTTTAAGCCTTGGAAAGCGGACTCATTATTTTTTTTGGGTTTTCTTTTCCTCTTCTTCCTTGGAAAGAGGAAAGCCATTAATGTTTTGAATTTTTTTCCTTTTCCTCTTTTCTCCTTCTCCGATTACTCTGTTTTTCCATTTCTTCTTCTTCTGTTGCTCTGTAAATTTCCACAGCAGCCTCTTTCGCTTCTTCTTCGAGCTCCTTCTTGGTTCTAAGGCGCTCGCTCTCTCTCTCTCTCTCTCTCTCTCTCTTCTAGCTGCCAAACAGCCCAGCGTCTGCACAGACCTTGCTGATTTAAGAAATGATTTTGAGTTAATCGTGGCGGAGCACCGTCACCTAGCGCCTAGGCGGCCGCCTCACCCGTTTTTTAGAACATTGATTGTTTCAAACACATATTTTCAAGCTTAGCTACCTTGTTTATGTTTGCTTTTTGTTGAGAATGAGAAGGATGATTGTCAAATCTTTTTTCATTCCGTAACAACATGTGATTAGGTTCAGAACTAATCATGTAAGCTGATTCCATGAAAATCTAAAATAAATGCCATGTTCTAGGGTTTATGTGATGTTCATAATCCTCTTCGTTCTTAGTGAGTTTCTAGGTGCTAAATCTGAGTATATGCCATGCTAGGTTGCACCTACAAATATAAGTTTGATGTATATGTCATGCATCTAACATGCAAAGAAAGTGAGGATTCATACAATCTAGTTATATGTCATGCTAGATATGTTAGTTGTGCATTTGAAATGGATAAGTTAAAAGATCATCTCATTGATTTTTCCCTTTTCTTTTTGTCTTTATTTCTTTTCCAAAATTACTTAAACCCCCAATTTTAAATCATAGGAGTCATTAACTGATGCTAATATGTAAGAGTAAAAGGTTTTACTAAGTTGTTTATCAGTCTCTGTGATTCGACATCCTTACTTGTGCCACTATATTGTCGTTATATTTGCACTCGAAAGGAACCTCAACATCCCGCCCATCATATTACTTTAGACTACCACTCGAGTCGAGTTCGCGCTCGACCATCTCAACTTGCCACCACAAGATCAAGTTAGGTACTTACACGTATTCTTGCATCAAGGTTACGTATTCAATCTTGTTATCTTGTACTCTAGTTTTGATGGACTTGTTTTGATCTTTAAATTCTTGAGTGTTCTTTTGGCCATCTCTGCATAGCCTTTCGCTAAATCCGAGAGAAATTTTCAATGAATCGGCTTGTTTAAGCTTTATGAATCGCATTGTTCGGTTGTAGGAAATGCCGTCACTCTTGTACCTCATCGGGATACACATTTCTCTTCCAAGTCTCGTGAAGCCTTCTTAAAGGCCATGGGTACTAAGTTGTTGTCTAGTACCACATTTCATTCTCAAACTGATGGCTAGTCTGAACGAACTATCCAAACCTTGGAGGACGTGTTGTGTTCATCCATTCTGTGTTTCAGCATGATTAAAAATTGCACCGATCTCTATTGGAATTATTTACAATGACATTTTTAATTTTTGGTTTGGGCATGGAACTATTTGAGACATGGTATGAGATATTCTACATGCAACACTTGTTAGACAAAGAGTTTTGCGAACTAGTATTCGAAGGATCGAAATTTCGATATGGGAAACTGTATGCTTCAGATGATGTCGCCTTGGAGTTTGGAAAAAATGGTAATTTTGCACCCTTGAGAAGTTACAACTTGTTTATCGAGACAACAAAGTGTTGTCGATATTGCAGGCTGTAATATTGATGGCTTATTTGTTAGGTTCGTTAAGCAAGTGGGCAGGTAAACTCGTCTATGGTAGTGGTTATTATTTAATTATTGTTTGAGCTCGACCCAAAGACACACACACACACACACACACACCCCTATTATCGGAGTATGTGACGTTACGAATTCTAGGGCGAGACCCATTTTCATTTTCGATTTTAATTTTCAGTGCAAGTATTTTAACTTAAATTATTATAGTTATATATTTGTATTTTTCAACGTCTTGAATCCGTTTAGTAGAGTTTTATTAATTGGTCTTTGTATGTGCTTAGGTGCGTTGTTAGTGGCGTTTCCGTCCTCCCAAGTTAGAACGACTATTCGACGACAGAGTATCTGTGAGTGGACCCTTTTCAAAATGCATGATTTTAATTACTACGTATAAGTATGAAATCAAATGTAATCCATCAATATTCCAAAAACACAACAAATCATAATATCTTAATCATGGCATAAGAAAATCAAGTGCTCATTAATCTATGCTAACACATGAGTCCATGTGGAGAAATTTTGACATGAACAGGACTGGATGTAATCATAATATATGCACTAGTACTACAATTATGTGAAGAATAGCGCTAGGTGCATCACATACGAGTTCTCGGTTGCCTAAAATAATTAAAATATTCTAACATAAAAAATATTAAAATAATAATATAATAATTAAAAGAAATATAAAATATAAAATAGTAATTTTCTTTTACAAAAGTATTTTCGAATTCGTAGTTCTATAGAATCTTCATCGTAATTCCGAATTCGATTCCGCTTGCGCCTATATGTTCGTACTGTTGAGGATTTTAAGAATACGATAAAATAGTAGCTCATACACTTCAAAAAATGATGGTTTACGAAAGTCAACAATCTCATCTCTAGAGGCATTTTCATCATTTCACTTTTTAAAAATTAATAAAATTGAAAAATTAGGAACGGATTGTTATAATTTACCCACCTTAAAAAAATTTCGTCCTTGAAATTTCAACACTATTGGGGATTATAGTTAAAGAACAAACGTGGATAAAAATCTTGCATGCGCTCAGTTCATCTCCTACGTAGCTTCCTCAACTAAGTGGTTTCTCCATAAGGCTTGGTGAATTTGGTGAATTTGATGGAAGAGATCTGGAGAGGATCCCTTTGCGAAAAAATGAATCTGAAAAATTGCTCTACTATTGTCATTCAGTTTGTGTGCGCTCCCTGATGGTCTCCTCCTTCATCTTCTCATCTTCTCAATCACTTATAGCTTTTCTATGTGATTATTTATTCTTTTACGGGTATTTCTGGATTTTTCTTTTTCTTTTCTGGGTTTTTTTCCTTCTAAATTTCCACCCTTCATGAATTCAACCAAGAACCTGTGTTGAAATATTTTGGGCTTTAGGAGGAGTGCATGTCGGTGATTGCAGTGTTGAAATATTCTGGTTGTTTCTTCCCTTTAATTTCTCAATGGAGTTGGACAATTTGTCCAATTCGAATATAAATTTGGTGGAAATCTGTCCTTCTAGTCTATTCTTAGTTGCAGTGATTAGCGTCTCAATATGCAGAAGGCGGGGTAAGTCCATCGGAGCGAAGGACGAGACCCAAGGACGTGTATGTCATCATCGGCGGCAGTGGAAACTTACGGTTGACAGAATTTCTCCTTTTACAGGCCATAATTTATATATATTATTTTAAGAATAGGTTAGAGCCGCGGTAGGGGTGTGCGTGGAGCATGGCTTCCAGGACTTGGTAATTTGCAGGGTGAGGTAACGATAGAAGGCATTTTTTTCGATATTCGAATTCTGCAGCAATAATTGAGGTCTATTGCGTTCATATTTCTCGTGATTGCAATAAGGCTGCCCACTCAGTAGCGTCATTTGTGTCCAAAGAGAATGGCGCTTATAGTTAGTTTGAGTTTGAGCTGGAGTGATTAACATTTTAATTTTTTAACTATTTATAGTGGGTAAGATTATAATGTAGTTGGAGAAATAAGCCATGAATTCAACAGTATTCTAAATATTTTCTAATTTGGAAAAAAAAAAAAAAGTTTCAAAGTTATATAATCATAAGAGTTAAGTGAGAAGTTTGAAATTAAAAATAGAAGATGATTGTGTCAATTATAGAGACGCCTTTTAGATATAAATAGATTTTTTTTATAATTTAAATTAAATAAAAATAAGGGATTTTGTCACAAAAGATCTTTTATATTTTGTAGATTCATAATTCTTGTTCTTTATGTTTCAATTCAATCAATTTTCACATCAACTATAACAGTAAAAAGAAACCACACTAACGCTCTTCAGCTTAAAACCAATTTCTATGTGGCACTGACATAGATTGATAACAAAAAGATTGCCGTCAAATTTGACAGTAGTTTCAAATATTTTTAATTAATTATTAAATGTTTTTAATTAATATTTTATTGATTTTATTATTATAATTAATGTTGAATGTTGACCGGTTTTGCTTGTATCCTACCTCTCTCTTGTTTGCAATCAACGAAGGAAACTATGCCAAATAATTAATTAAATTTTTACTGATTTGATTATTTATTTTATAATAAAATAAAATAAAATTTATATTTAACATATTAGATGAAAAGTAAAATTCAAAAAATATTAAAATGTCAAAATGTTACAGAAATTGTTAAATTAAAATTTTACGTTCTTAAATGCCTCACAGACCATCTTTGTTTGTGTCAAAGCAAGTCAAACACAGACAAAGAAGGATTTGGATCCTCTCCTGAGGAGGGGTTTGAATCCTCTTAACTTAATAACACGGATCGTTGAATTTTGATTCAACGGTTACAAATAACAGGTATTCTCTAAAAATTATAATAATTGTAATCGTTAGATCAAAATTCAACGATTCGTGTTATTGGATCGATAAGATTCGTACCATCTGCTCCGAAGACGATCCAAGCCTGACAAAGAAGTGAAGGGAGAATCCAAGTATTATCAGAACCAATCAAACTGAGCCTCCTATCGCCCCCACATATGTCTTACGTGGCATTATCAGAACCAATCAAACTGAGCCTCCTATCCAAAACAAGAGAGACTGCCAATCAGAAGCCACGTGTCAGATACCCATTTAACTCATAGATTTCACCGGATGAGATTACATCCCCTCAAATCCAGTTATATGGTCCAAAAGCTCGCTCGCTTGCTCACTCACTCTCCTTCCCAAAAGAGAGCTCCCAAATAACGTCGTGTTTTCGGTGGGAAGGCAAGCAAGCTAAAATGGCGGCAGAGATGGCTCTGGTAAAACCCCTCACGAAATTCAGCAATGGCGCCCCCAAATTCGGAAGCAACCCCGGCAGCCCCAAGACAAGAGCGTCTTCGATGCTGAGGATGTCGGTCAGGGCAGAGACGGCGGCAGCAGCGGCCAAAAAGACGCCCAAGAAGGCTCCGAAAACACCCCCAAAGGAGACCCTTTTGGCACCGAGATTCTACACGACGGACTTTGACGAGATGGAGACGCTGTTCAACACGGAGATCAACAAGAAGTTGAACGAGGCGGAGTTCGAGGCGCTGCTGCAGGAGTTCAAGACTGACTACAACCAGACACACTTCGTCAGGAACAAGGAGTTCAAGGAGGCTGCTGACAAACTGCAGGGCCCGCTGCGCCAGATCTTTGTCGAGTTCTTGGAGAGGTCCTGCACTGCTGAGTTCTCGGGCTTCCTTCTGTACAAAGAGCTCGGAAGAAGGCTCAAGGTTGGTCGGTTGGTTGATTGTCTTTCTTTCCAAAATTAAATATAGCTCATATCGAATACTTTGAGTTTTGATTGTGGTGATAGCAGATAATGAAAATGAATCTGTTGCAGAAAACAAATCCAGTGGTGGCAGAGATCTTCTCGCTCATGTCTCGGGATGAAGCTCGGCATGCTGGTTTTTTGAACAAGGGGCTGTCGGATTTCAATTTGGCCTTGGACTTGGGGTTTCTGACAAAGGCGAGGAAGTACACATTCTTCAAGCCAAAGTTCATCTTCTACGCAACTTACTTGTCCGAGAAGATTGGGTACTGGAGATACATTACCATCTACCGCCATCTCAAGGAGAACCCCGAGTACCAGTGTTACCCCATTTTCAACTTCTTCGAGAACTGGTGCCAGGACGAGAACCGCCATGGCGATTTCTTCTCTGCTCTCATGAAGGCCCAACCCCAATTCCTCAATGACTGGAAGGCTAAACTCTGGTCCCGATTTTTCTGCTTGTCGGTAAGCAACCAATGAATGCATTGCCTAGATTGAGATGCGTCGCACCATTACTCAGTCTAACTCATCTTCTACCCATGGCAGGTGTATGTGACAATGTACCTCAACGATTGCCAGCGAACAGCTTTCTACGAAGGCATTGGCCTCAACACTAAAGAATTTGATATGCACGTTATCATTGAGGTCAGTCTGCACTAGCAATAACAATTCCTTTGCGTATACATTCCCGTTATCCAATGTCCTTATTGTTTCTAATGATCGTTTTGGGTTCCCTACGCAGACAAATCGCACTACAGCCAGAATTTTTCCAGCAGTGCTCGATGTTGAGAACCCAGAATTCAAAAGGAAACTGGACCGAATGGTGGAGATTAACCAGAAGCTGATTGCTGTCGGGGAGAGTGACGACATTCCCGTGGTGAAAAACTTGAAGAGGATACCGATGGTTGCTGCCTTGGCCTCTGAGCTTCTCGCCGCCTACTTAATGCCTCCCATTGAGTCCGGCTCCGTTGATTTTGCAGACTTTGAAACCCAGCTAGTCTACTGATCATTTTGTACGGCCTGCCCTTCCCTTCGAAACCAAGATGATATCGTTCATGTTTTGTTATGATACAACACATTGTTTGAGTGCACTTGCTTCATAACCTTTCATTTTCATTTGTAAAAATGGCTTCATAACCTTTCGTTAACATTCCTTGTATTTTATATTTTAACAAACCTCGATGCACGTAGGATAACTCGAAACAGATGGTTTATGAATAGCGTTATAACAAGATCAAGGGAAACGTAACAAACCAGAGTATCCTCCAACGGACCGACGTAACTTGGGAGCAAGTCAATCCAGATTATCTTACATTGATTATATCCAAAAGCCCACAATGCGAACATAATCGAAAACCTGCAAATCTGTAAGTCATGAGGAGGGAAAATTAAATTTTAAAACAGTCACAACTATTGAACATTAAATTGCTACGAACACCATCCCTCGTAGATTTCTGCATTTATTGTAATCAGCAAGTCATTTACAACAATCATGAACCGGAATTTTATTATGAGACAATGTCACTGTATGAACTCTCCTTTGCGAAAATCATCAATCGACCAACTAGTGTAACTACATTAAGAAAAACTGTGTACTCGCTCTCTGACTACCATAACTACCGAAACAAAAGATCCTTGACAAGACGCAAAAGCTGTAGCCAAACCCTGTCATTAAGGTCAAGTCGAAAATAGAATAAGAATGATAATCCAAAAAGAGAACGAATAACACGCCAAGAATTATACTAAACATGACAGCATGTGCACAAAGTTAGGAGATGTCGGGGGGTTAACATAGGAGATATTTTTTTTCCAATATGTTCACAGTAGCATTTTGAAGAGTCTATTTCGTATCACCCAGCACCTAAAACCAGCATCAGTCAGACCACATTTAACAAAGTGCAAAACAGTTAAGACACGTGATTTGTGGCATTTGATAAAACTTAGCTTAGAAATTGTCCACAATCCATATTTCATTACCCTTCCATTTGATAATCACGATATCTGTTCTTTACGCTGAGAATAGAGCATCTGAACTGAATGGAAAGCTTGAAAACTTTATGGTCTCTCGGCATACATTTTGTTATTGATTTAGAAGAACCAACTAACTCAAGGTGCAAGTTGACAACTCAAAATAATCATTTTTGGCAACAATCTGTCATCACCAATATGCTTCACAAGTACAAGGAGCTAAAGCTAGATGTCAAAAGTATAAGAATCCTAGGGCCCCCAAAAAGAAATCGATTAAAATGATGCAATATGGAAATGAAATAAAAGGTACAAACCTTCATGCTTGTAAAACAGGTGATGTGGTTTTAGGATTTGTTATTTCCGCAATTGACTTCCTCATTTGCTCCATCAAAGGAAGTGGTGCTATGGCCAGATGCTCCCAATTCATCTCCCGGAGGTAAGCTTTGCACAGAATAGTTCACTGCATCCCTTGTAGCAACACTTTCTGTAATTTTATCTTCATCTACTGAGTATTGCACAGATTCTTTTACTTCTGGCTGAATGGGAAAAAAGGGGTCAAAAGCAGGCCTGCATTGTTCTCCTGCATCCTTCAAATCATCCTCCAAATCATCGTAGTCAAAATTCCGCAAAATGTTTGGAAGTGAAAAACCATTGTCCTCGGCAAGCCTGGTTCCCATTTCAATATCTATTTTCTCCTTTGAACTCATAATACCTTCCCCATTATTTGAAGTCCCAGATCCTGCAATCATCTCTTCATCCATCTCAATGAATGAACGGAATCTATTCATTGAAGGAGGGATTTTGGAGAAAAAAACTTCTTTGACATTCCAAATCATTCCTTTGTTATATGGGTTCTCCTTCTTATCATATCGGTACCGAAAGTTTTCATATGTTGTCTGTAACAAAACATGAATCACAGAATTAAAGTTAGATACAAACAGTCATAAAAATATTGCACATTCCTAATATACTAAATGAAAATTGCACATGTAATTCACTCCATGATGCCAGTAGACTACACTTGTTATTAACCAATCAAGCAATTTGCCGACACAGATTCAATGACACTGATGGAAAAAAAAATTGAAATTTTTTGTTTCATTCCATCAATCAAAAAGAAAATTTTGTTAGACAATAATTCCCTACTTAATAAAACTATTTTGTTTGATTATTACAACATTGTTTTAAAATCTTAGTGCTTGTTTGGATGTGCTTTTAAAATGACTGAAAATGTTTTTGGAACCAATCCTTAGTAAAAATGCAAGTAAATTCTGGAAAAGCACTTAAAGTGCTTCCTGGAAGAAGCACATAACTGGTGCTTCTTGCAGAAAGCATAGTGCTTTTGAAACCAAAAGTCATTTTCTCTAAAAGTGCTTTTAGTCATTTTAAAAATACATCCAAACAGTACATGCAACTTTGGCCAAATGCCATCGGCTAATATTTCCATAGGTAAGAAATCTTAGAGTGACAGAAAACCACTCAAGTTATATAATTTTAATCTTTAGCTTCAGTAAAGTTACCTGGTTTGTGCATATCAAGTAGGAATGGAAGAGTGTAAGGCCACCAACAAACCAGATAGCAATGAAACAGTATGTTAAAAGGAAATCCGACACAACGTCTTTCGAAAAAGCTCTTCTGCCTCCTGTTTTAAATATGTTTATCCAAGAGAAGACAAAAACATATATGCACAGTATGGTTGAGGTTGATATGAACATGAAGAAAAACCGATAGTTACGCTGCAATCAAACACATAAGAGGACAGTTACTTTCTTAGCAGAGAGAAGAATGAAAATTATGAAAAGATTTGGGCACCAAACAAATTGCAACCATCCAACTTGATATTCAAAATAAGTTTATTCAATTATAATTGCTTCAAAACAAATTACTTGTGTTTCACATGCTTGCAATATTCATGTTAAACATTGGACGACTGACTTGGAGACCTCAAGGACATTGTCAATAAAGAAAGAATTGGGCCATATTTCAGGGGATACATTATAGCTGGTAAACTTATCTATAAAATACCATTATGTTCGAAAGAGCAACTCACTAGCAAAATTATCAAGGAGATGAGCAATGCATCCCAAGGCAAAGATATAGTATACGTAAGAATACCGCATCTTACCTTCAAGCTTCAACACAATAACTTTATAAGTGGGATCCCTTTAGGAACTACTCCAGCATTTAGAAACAACTATTTTCTAAAGATACAGGAAATCCCATGCCCTGCATAAGAAGACCCAAGTCCTAGCAGCCTAACTCAATGATGGTTTAACATAGATACTGCATAACCAAATGGTTGGAGCTGCATTATAACGAAAGAAGCAACTTGGAAAGAGCATGAAGATGCAAAAGCCCATTACCAATAGCAGCTCTATAGATATTCCAAACACCCACCAAATTTGAAGACTACTAGAGGATAATGTACTTCCTGAGAATCCCTCAACTAAGTTCACAGTTAATAATTCTTGATTCCACCCAATGGGCCAACACAATCCCGTATATTACAATTATAGTAACTGGCCGATTCTGCATTCCAAATTTGAGTGTTCAAACTTCAAATAATAAAGAAACCAGGACTATCAAATTATTATTCTCATTTTGAACTTCAACACCGTTAGTATATAGTAGATAACTCTTCTCAGCAAAGTTTCAAGACCATCAAAGTACAACTTTGAAAAGATAAATAGTGATGTAAGTGCCGATAAATAAAACCCAAGATATATTGAGATAGCTCAACTACGCAGGTACAACACTGCAGTTCAATGTATTAAAAGGCGAAGGCGTAGGCGAGGTGTCCCATGGATAGCCCCGCCTAGGCGTGAGGTGTGAGGCGAAGCCTCACAGTACCTAAAATTTTAATATATATTGCATATATAATTATATTTTATAGATATACTTTGTAAAACAAATATAATTATAAGTAAATCAAAGATAATATCATCTTCTTCATTACTAAGTCTAGTTGTACTTAGAAACTATGTCATAAAGTCTTAAAATTTTGTAATTATTTATTTTATTGTAAGCAATTATGCAGAACTTTAAGGGAAATAAGGGTGAGCGGCCACAATTATAGGGAATTTCAAGGAAAATAAAGGCTGAATGTCACAATTATAGGGAAATTCAAAAGGAAATGAAGGTTGAGTGGAGAAATTATAGCGAATTTAAATGAAATAAAGGCTGAGTGGAGAAATTATAGGGAATTTGAAAGGAAACAAAAGCTTAGTGGAGCAATTATTATAGGGAATTTAAAGGAAAATAGAGTTGGAGTTAGACTTTGTCATTTGGAGAGAGAAACTCTCTCTTTCTTCTTCGTTTAAACTAGAACATATCCTGCATTTTAGAAACATACATGAATTTTGAAGGGAAAAAACGCCCAAGTTCAACGCCTGGGCGTGCCCCAATGCCGCCCTACGCCCACCCCCACAAAACAAAGGCGAAAATCCAGCCGCCCAGCTTTCAAGGCCGCCTAGGGGCGGCCCGAGGCAAGTTTTTTAAAACACTGAGTTAAATACACAATTTTTCGGCTTTTTCCAGTAGCAATTCATGACAGATCATACCTTTTGGTCTTTGATAAATTATATTTACTATAGTAAGCCAATCAAGTTCAGAAGAGTTAACAATATTCCAATTTCTAATCACAGGTGGCATAAACAGGGAAAGGTACACTGACAAGTTAATGACTTACAATTCCAATGCACTGACCAACCCATGGACAGTGATGATCGAATCTCTGAACACAATTGTTGCAGATAGAACAGTGAGATACGCGGGGAGGGCGATAAAGCAAACAAGTATCGCAATACTTCACTTTTACTGTGTGACCATTTACAACGACATCTTTTGTTCGAGGTAGTTTCAAATGAGGAGTTCTTTCATTAACCCACTCCATGGATGGGGTAGCTAGATCAAATGCTTCATCTGATTCTGGAGGCCTTGAATTTCGAGGGATTATTCCAGGATCCCTCCCAGAAGTCAAGAAGAGAAAGGTTAAATCCTGCACAGAAATGAGATAAATGTCAGACATGTTTAAAAATGCTAGAAGAATCAGAATTGTAAGAATAGAGTGTTAAATTAGTTTATCATGTGACTAAAAGCATTTAGTCATTATCAAGATAATGCTGTCATTGGAATGCAATACAAGTGTCTGCTGGCTCAGATCCACGACCACAACAAAAGGGAAAGAGATTCCATGTACCAGAAATTTTAACAAGTTAACATGCAATATGCAAAAAACTGATATTGTACATGTAATAGATAAGAATCCACAATACAAAAGAAAGAAAACACATTCCAAGGCTGATTCGAAAATTGGAGGTCTTCTGTTATCATTTGAGGATTAGGTACTTCTTGCTTATAAGTTTCTCTTTCAAATTTTAGTGCATTGTCTAAGGAGATAATCTTGCATGATGTAATCCATTAAAAGCTTTGAGCTTAATAATCTAATTAACCATATCCTTGATAACATCGTTGGTGCTCTCTTCCAAATGTGATATACTTTCACCCTTCAATAATTGAAGTTTATATTGACTCAGACTGGATTATTTAGTAGTTTTAAAGATGGAGGCAGAAAAAACAATGGTAAAAATATTGAGCCATTAAATGTCAGCGTGCAGTTTTGATTGTATAGATTGCCATCAAATAAAAATCAAAACTCATACTTCCTTTGCAAGACCCAGGTTTCACAGGACAGCCGCAATTAATGTCATTTCTAGTGAAATGGAGGACAATGTAAATAGTTGTTCAGTATTTAATTGTTTTGATGATTTTGATGTTGTAATAATTGCTTTCCCTTTACCTTCAACACTGAAGCTATCCTATGAATGTTTCTATTAATTCAAACGTAAGAATTTGAGTTTCAAAAATGACTTGGCCAAATTTGGTAAACTAATAAAGTTGTAAGCTATCTCATAAGAAATAGTGAAATAGGTCACGCAAATAGCCATACTAATTGCTGATATAAAAAAGAAAAAAATACATAATAAATAATAACATACTTACCAAAATTGTAAGGACTGAGCCAATAGCTAATACAGGAAGCCATAGATTGTCATTCTTTTGATTCCCATTTTTTATTTTAAAATAAACCTTCAAACAGAAGGCAACTGCTGGGCCGGCTACAAGGATTGTAGACAGAAGAAGAGATGCAACATCAGGACCAAAAATTAATCTCCCGCCACAGAAAAACTTCTGATAAAACCAATAAAAATTCCCGTCAGTGCAAGTACACCAAACTGGATTGGAGTTTTAGCAATATTCCACCAGTCATACTACTGGCATATCATAAACCGAAAGAATAGTCCATAAAATATTCTGTTAGGAAAGTATTTCAAGTAATGATCAATTGTGCCACATCAAGTAGTGAACAATAAATTCAATATTATACAACTTGAAATAATACGTGCATTCATATATCCACAGATATAAAGGAAAGGAGTAAAATACGCAGCATGATACGATAAATACAAGTAATTTGAATGTGTTTAGATTTAAATTTAGATTTTCTTGTTCTTCATTGATATAGAGGTACAACAAATCAATTCCTCAAGCCATATTTTCTTCTGAATACATTTTTCAAAGGCTACTGATGAATCATATATGACACTACAATCTATCAACAATCGGTTGCAGAGGTAGGTTCTAAATTTGGGGCACAGTTTAAGGCCTTGTTTTGTCTCTAGGACTGAATTGGAATGGATAACCAATTATATTGAAGGTATGTTGAAGAACAAAATGAAAAATTATGTCCAACTTGAAGGTGGAAGACGGATTAATTATTAAGGAAACTTATCCCTTAGAATCGCCCTAAGAACAGAGGATTAGAAGGGAGAAGTTCTCTTCACGTCTAATTTCCCTCAAAATGAAATATCATTCGCCTCTACCTTTAATATACCTTGAATTTTATAGTTATCCAATCCAATCCAATCCAATCATAGAGACCAAACAAGGTCTAAAAGTATAGGATCTCTATATAGGTTCCACAGGTGTCGAGAAATTGGAGGGGGCCAAGGGCATCTCCAGGGATATGAATAGCTCCGCCCCTGCTACCATATTATATTATACATATCTTTATCTATTTCTCAGTACATATGTAGCTGGTGGGCAAATTCTTGCTCAGAAAGTAAGCACACTAGAGAAAACACATGATGAAAGAAAGTAATTACACAACCGTATTAACATGAACTCGAAACTCTGGACCTTGACCGAGAAGATATCTGTTTAATCAAGTAAAAGTAGTGTAGCTAGAGAAAGGGAGTATCTTAAGGGAAAGCAACAGCTGCAACTCAAATTTAAAGACAAAAGCACACAAAAAGAAAGAGGAAATGAAAATCAATCACAGAGGGAATTACCATAAAGTCATAATCTCATCATCTTCTTTCAAATTGGAACAAAACAAGGAACACGAAATGATAAAGCAATTGAATTGATGTTGATCAAAAAGCAGTCAAAAGTGAAAAAAAAAGTGAACCCAATTGAGAGAGAGAGAGAGAGAGAGAGAGAGGGAGAGAGAGAAACTCACATTGCTTCCTTTCCAAACTTGGTAGAGCCTACTGGGTTTATTCTGTGCCATACCCAGCTGCCCAGAAATGTTGTGTTCTCTCAACTCCAACACCCTCCTACCTCCATCACAAATTCCGCTTCCTTCCCTCCACTACAAAATCAACAGCACCAGAAGAGAGAAAACCCACCAAGGAAAACCAATTTCTTTAAACAATCATGGACATGCAAATGAGCAGTTGAGGAGTGAGAGAGAGAGGGAGGAGAGAGAGGTTTTGGGTATGGGATGAAATTCAAAACCAGCTGTCTGGGTTCTGAGACGGATTGTACCAAGAGAAAGGAGCAAAGATTCTCTCTCTCCCTCCCTCCGTCTCTTTCTCTCTCTAACTTCTCCTCCCTAACACGCTGCCAACGATGACATCCAGGCGGATCTTCCGATATTCTCGCGGCATTTACGCGCTTAACCAACATTTTTTTCATTTCTTTCCTTTTCTTTCAAACTTATTTATTTTTATTATTAAAAATTAATCACAATTTATTTTGTTTTGCGTTTCTACACAACGAGTGCTCAGCCGGTACACCAGTCCAAACAACGTGCTGTCACAACCTATTCCTTTTCTCTAATTTTTTTTTATATTTTTTTATTTTTTTATTTATCCTGGTCGTGCATTACAATATTCTTGTTTGTGATTTTTGTTTGTTTTTCTGCTGAAATTACTAGTTGGTCACATTTTTTTTTTAAAGATACTTACTCATGAATATCTTACAGATTTATTTATTTTTTATTTTGACTTAATAATATTTCAACACATATTTTATTATTTAAAAAAATAGGATTATGTACTTAAAATTCAACAACCTTTTAGTCATTCTAAATTGATATCAACTTTTTTAAACATTCTAAATAAGAATCCAACCTATTAAAAATATAAAATATATTAAGCCTAGTTAAATTTCTGTGAAATTAACTATGACTTACTTTGTCTCCAAAATCATAAAAAGTCATGGAAGCATAGCCTCAACCAACCACCCTATCACGCCATCACCTCCAAACCCAACGCATAACCACCAACTCCATTCTACAACTCAAGCCACCAATGTGGAAGCAAAAAATAATCTCAAAAATCCTACAGGTGACACGTGGACTTTTAGCTAAGAAAGACGAGATTGCCTTTATTAAATAAGCAAGGCATGCCATGCGCAGCTTAGCTTCCTAAGACATGCAGACAACAAACTATGACTACTTTGAGCTCCACTGTACATGGAAAATTTCAAAGGAAAAACCTGTCATTAAATACATTCCTAATTGAAGACAAACCATATCAAGTAAGCAATCTCAATCACCTTTATTCTAGGATATTTACTATTATTTCCAAGATATTATTTACAAAATATTTTTGGAATATTCTCACCAAAATCAACCCTAATGGCCGGCCACCTCCTCTATAAATACCCTATTTCTCCATAAAAAATGGTAGAGTTTTTCTATACACAGAAAACCCTAAAGACTCACTCTTTTCAGAGAGACTAATGATAGAAGCATATTTATGCTACTTTGATATGTTGTTTCCTTGCATTTAGTTAGCTAATTACTACTTAATAAGTGTTTTAAGCTATTTTCGTGTGTTTGTAGGTCCTAATGGCAAAGTTGGCAAGAAAAGGCAATTTTGAGCCTTTTGGAGCAGTTTTGGGCATGAAATGGATAGCTTGTATATGGAGCAAGGTGGATGGACAAATTTGGAGTCAAAAGAGGCTAGGAACATGCTACAAATGTGAAGAAACAAGTTCAAGACAAAGAAGATAAGGAAAGAACAAGAAATATGGAACATTATCCTAGCAACCTTATCTTATCCAAACCTTATCCTATCTTATCCTAACCTAATCTTGTTCTACCTTATTTCCAACTGCAAGGGGATCTAAATATATGGCTCTAGAACACCTTATCTGTTCCTAAAAGGGTGCCGCAACCTTCCCCCTTTACTCCTTCTAGAAGTACCAAAAATCTGCCACAAAATACATAGTTTCTAGAAGCCCTAATTTCTGGCGAATTTCCCTAACCTTTTCCCTCTTGATTTCTGAATTGAATTGGCCTTATTCCTTGTGGATTTGGATTGTGCAAACCCTTTTTAGAAATTAATTAGGTTTTGACCCATTTCTTGAGGCCCAAGCCTTATGCCGCACCCTAGTCCTTCTCCCACCTGATTTCTACCAAACCCTAGACCTAATTATGATTTCCCTAGGGTTTTTCCGTGCATCATATATATATATATATATACACTTATGCCGCACCAAAGAGGAGAGAACCTAGAGAGAAAATTAGAAATTGAGTTTGTGCTGCAACAAGGAGAAAGAAAGAAGGGAGAGCCTTTGTGTCGTGCCTATGCCCAAGCTATTGGGAGTGTTGGAGCATCTCTGGGGTGTCTTCTATCCTTGTTTTAGTTTTACAATTATGTTGATTTCGTTGTTAATTTCTGCAATCATGTGTAACTAAGTTTTTCTTAGTTAGAGGTGAATTCAAAGTCATGGACATATGTTTTATATGAATTGATTTCCTCCAGTTATTGTTTCTTGAATTGTGAATGCAATTTACTTAACTGATTTATTGAGAACTTGTTCTTGTGTGTTGATTAAGGATGCATACTTAGTTTTCATGCATGAATTTGATGCTAGAGTATAAGGGAATTTCACCTAATCGTTATGAACTTATATTCACAAGTAGTAAAAGTCACTAGTCATGATTGTATTAAGTAAATTCTAGGCAAGAGTATCATGCAGTTCATAGTTACAAATGTCTTGTCAATGCTTATGATTTTCACAAAGCTTAATAATCTTTGATTGTATCTCTATTATGCTATTCATGTAGGGAACTTGATAAGAATAATTTGGTTGTCGATGTGTATTCCATCCAATTCAATGAAACAAGGAAAATCTGAAAGTTAATTTGTGCTTCTCACAATTAATTTGGGGCATTGTCATTCATGGTTTAAAGGATAATAACTGAAAAACAATTTGTGTTTCATATGTGCATGTGTGGAGAAGGACCCTCTAACTAGCATTTACCCATTCAATTCAACCAATTTAGTGTCTAATCTATTTAGTTTTGCAATCTGCCTAATTTAGTTAATTTTGTCAAAAATCAATCCCCTTTAATATTTAGTGTTTTAACTTAGTTAGAATTTGTTGAAGTTTAGTTCTATTAGTGTTTAGAGTCAAGTTAAGGTCAAAATTTGTCCAAAAACCCCATTAGTTCTTATTTGTGTTAGTTTTGTTTCAATTCGTCATAATCTGTCCATATTGAGTCTTTTTAGTTCAATTTTCGTCCAAATCACTTTCTAGGATCTGTTTTGAGTCAATTCAACTTAGTTTGTGTGTTTTGAATTTATTTAGCTTGTTTTGAGTTGTTAAAGTCTAGTTTAGTGTTTTTGAGTCTTATTTGTGTTGATTAGCATCCCTAGTTAATCCCCGGTCTAGAACAATCCCTACTTGCATATATACTACAATTGTCAACAATAGGGTTTAATTTGTGTGTCAAGTTAATTTACACATCAACTAACTTTGGCATCAAAGATCCATTGACCAAACCACCCCTCACTCATCGGGGGCAGGTGAGGCTTTTGGTCTTTGATCAAAGGTGTTGATTGTTTTGCAGGTGTATTTTCATCAAAGCGAAGAACGGCGGAAATTTGCATCGACAAATTGGTGCTTTCATTGAGAACTTGATTCAAATGCTTGAAGAAGCCTTTCGCATTCAACGTTTCTAATCTTCTTCGCTCATTTGCAGGTTTTCCCACACATTCCAACTCCTAGAATTTTTATATAAATTCTTTGAATAGCCATGGGGAAGAAATACAATGATCGGACATTCAGAAACCATGACGAACGAAACATCTTATGTTCAACAATTAAGACCAGACGATGGAGATCGTGACATGGCCGCATGCCATCACTCCTCGAGACTCACCACAACAAGAATCGCGGCACTATCATCGGTACCACCGTGGCCATGCCAGCAACGGCTACCACAGTGGCCCATAGAGAAACTTTCACCCACGATGAAGAGCAGTTGCTGCAGCGCAAGTGCTAGAAGCAGCTCAGACCTGAGCCTTAGAGGTGGGCCAATTCGCTGCCACTGCAACAACCTAAAGCCAAATGCCAGCAGCAGTAACTTAGCACGCTCAAGCCCAAGCTACATAGCAGCACTAACCCCATGCTCGAGCCATCTTGCAAGCGCCAAGCCCAAGCTCACACCACTGAGCAGCCCAAGACGCACCTAGAAGAACAAGGGTTGAATGTCCATGCGCCCCGTACGCAGCCCAGCCCATGAATGCAGCCCAGCTCATTATATGGCCCAACAGACAACCTAGACTGATCCAATACCATTTCAACCGTCCCGACTTTAGATTTCTAGACCGCCGATTGAACAAGGGGTATTTTCACCCTGACTTTCTAAAAATTTAATCCTTCTCGGCTCAAATCTTGCATTCGAAGTCCATTACACTTCCATCACCCATAGAGAAGCATACCATCCAAACTCTTTCACCCTGAATGGTGAACAACATATGCCTCGACAAGTTGCAAAATTGACAAGCGCCCTTACACAGCAAACGAACTTGGTGAGATACAGCATGCCCCAAACAAGGTGTCCTGAAACAAAACAAGGGTAGATGACATCCCTCTTCAACAGCGTTGTAGCAAGCAGCCCATCGACTAGTCGGGAACCAAGATTCTAGGTAACGTACACTTCTGATTGGGCCCTCAGGGATATTGTATACTCTCGTCAAAGCATGCGGATGAGCCTGCACTTCTGACTAGGCCTATGAGCAGGCATACATTCACAGTCGAGGCCATACTTCGATGAGCAACATGGAAAACCTTTTAGGCAAAGTGTCCATTTGCGGCTAGGCCTATAAGGAGCATCATCCACCTCACATCGAAGTAGGCAGCACATCGGATGGAGAAAAACAATCACTCAATCTAGGTTTTTTTATTTTTAGCCAACATGCACACTTTGGGTCTTTTTAGCCAATATGTATGCTTCAGGTTTTCTTGACTTTAAAAGAGCTTAATTACTTTTCTTGTTTTTTGCCAATATGCACACATTGGGTTTGTTTTTTAAATGATAAATCAACTTTGTGGAGGATGTTTCAATGCAAAGGCAAATTGTAGAATGAAGTTAAGAGTTTGAGGATAATTGTGTCCAATTTTTTCTGAAATTTTCTTTAAGCCAATCGGGTTTTTTTTTTTTAGTCAAAACTGCAAATATTTAGAAGAATATGGATTTGAAGACCTTTCTAATTTTTCCTGGAGACGTGGATATATGCCTGAAAAGTTAATATATAAATGGCAAGTTTTCTATTTTTCATAAATTTTTTAAAAGTCGGATTAACCCTAACTCAAGCGTACAAGTCATATAACGTGTTTCCCGCTCAACTCTAATTTGTGTCCTTAGTCATTTTAGTAGTTAATTTCATGAGTGATGTGTTTGTTTTT